GGTCTGCATCGATCAGTTGACTCCAAGCCGAGGTCAAGAATGACTCAACGACCAGCCGATTGACTCAAACGGAGCCTGATTTGAGCCTCCCGTTTATCCGAAGCAGGGGCCAAAGCAGTGTGTTGGGGACGTTATGTTGCCCCTCAACTACCAGGATCCCCCTTTCCGGCATACGAGACACCACGCACGGCAAACACGTGGGTGGGCGTTCAGATCCCAGGGATGGTGAAGAGGAATTTCTAGACCATCTCTGGGAGGTCCCCTCACCACGGACAGGAACCCACATAGAGGGGATACAACGCTAGACAACATGCGTTAAGAAACAGTGGTGGTATAACAATCAATACTCCTGTAATCCCTAAATTTCAAAAGCATGAAATAAATTGTGCTATATCTTGTTTAAAATATGGTAATGCATTGGGTATTGATAATATGACAGCGACCATAGCCCGCAAACTATGGGAACTTTCCAGACCACTTAAATAAACTTTTTAATGTGTGTCTCAATACAGGGATTTTTCCTGATCCTTGGAAAATAGCTTGTATCGTTCCAGTACCTGAACCGGGTAAACCCAACGAATTCAGACCAATATCACTCCTCCCCCTTCTTGGCAAGACTTTGGAATGACTTATAAACAACAGACTTTACTGGCATATGGAACATCATCGACTCTTACACACCTCTCAATATGGTTTCCATAATCAACGATCGGCTGCTGATGCAATACATTTTGTAACCAAGGAAACTAATTACTTATTAAATAATGGGTTACAATTATGTTCTTGCCATCAGTTTAGACATAAGTACAGCATTTGATAGCACATGGTGGCCTCTGACCTTATCACAAGTTAGACAAAAAAAATGCCCTTCTAATCTGTATAAAATCATTCAAGACTATCTTAATGAGAAACATGCTATCACGATACAGGGAGATCAAGAGATCACAAGAAATATTAGCCGAAAATGCCCACAAGGTTCGGTAATAGGACCATTACTTTGGATAATTACCTTAGATTCACTTCTTGATCAGGATTTAGGTCAGGAGAGAATGATTGCATATGCAGACGATCTGCTGATATTAATAGGAGGTCACAGCAGAGCCGAACTCGAACGATAAGGGACAACAACCTTAGGAAAAATACACAACTGGGGCAAAGAAAACAAACTGCAATTCAACGCAAACAAAACAAAAGGCACTATGTTTAATCTTCCTGGCCGTCCAAACTTATATCTCCAAGTTCCAAGTGTAAAAATGGGAGGTGTGTCGATCAAAATTGACAAAACACTTAAATATCTGGGAGTCATATTGGACAGTAGTTTGTTATGGAATGCACACATAGATTATATAACCAAACGTACAGGTCTGATTTTTCAGACATTCTCCAGAGTGGCTCATTGTACACGAAATTTGCCTTTTGAAGCTTTGGATATTATTTACAACCAGCAGTTCATACCAACAATTACATATGCTTGTAATAGTTGGGGATGGGCATCCCATAAGATGCATGCTAAGAGAAAGCTTAACTCGGCCCAGAGAAAGGCATTAAATTTTACTGACAAAAGCTTATAAAACAGCGCCTACCTCTGCCCTCCAGGTAATCGCACGAAAACCACCTATTGAGATGCATATAGATTATTTTAGTCAGATCAGTCACCTTAAATGGAAGGAGGATGTACAAATTAATACTGGTACAATAACTGCATCAGATTTGGAACGTCCGACACCACTGTCCTTACTCCCAAATCCCTGTGAGTTACCAATCCAAATTACAGATAATGATCAAGAGAACAATATAGTTATTTTTACTGATGGCTCTAAAAATGAAAGGAATGTAGGATGTGCTTTTGTGGTTTACTCAAATAACGTCAAGATTGCTTATCAAATGTTTCGACTGAAAAACCTCTCTACAGTCTTTCAGGCAGNCGCCACTGGCACGGTTGTGGTGATCATCATCCTTGCAATAGAGATTGAATCCTTTTAAAGTAATCCTTTCTCCAGGTTTCAGATGGGTTTCCTGGAGTGCCACGCACAGAGATGAGGTAGATGATGTCAAGTGTTTAGTGTCAGAGAAGTTGTTGCAGAAACCATGACAGTTCCATTGAATTATTTTATAATCCATTATGTGTTTGAGGCAGCATTTTTAGCAAAATTATCCCTCTTTAATTTCACAGGTGCTTTTTCTTTTGGAGGTGATGTTGGTGGTGTCACCCCCCTTATTATTCTTTTCATCAGAGAAGTCGGAGAACTCGCTCATAGACTGAGTCTCCGATTTTTTTTATTTAGAGAGGGCTGCTTTTATCCTTTGTTTATTAAGTGGGTTCTTACTGGCTTTTTTGGAACCCACATTCCTAGTTGTTACCCCTGTTTTAGGTATAAGTGGTTTTGCTTTGTTATTCTCTTTTTCTGTTGCTTTGGTAGATGGTATCAGCAGACATTTTTCATGGCAAGTCAGAGATTCATTTGGTGAAACAGAAATGTCTGTCTGAACTCCACATGTCTTTGTGGATTTAAGAACAGCAGCAAATGTCTTCTGTTTCACTGGTGCACTTAAAATAACCATGCGACGTGCCTCCGGGTAAGATGTATTATTAACAATCTTCAATCGCTGAATTTCTCTCTCTCTCTGCCATGCAGTGCATTTTCGAGAATAGGCAGGGTGGGAATCTTTGCAGTTTACACAGCATGAGGAACTTGTGCATTCAGTACTCTCGTGGTCTTCATTTCCACACTGCGTGCATGCTTCTTTTCCTCTGCATGATATTTGGGAATGTCCAAACCGCTGACGTTTAGAGCAACGTAGTGGATTTGGAATGTATGGGCAAGATGGGCAACAGAGATATCCTGCCGCAACAGAAGATGGCAATGTTAATTTGTTGAAAGTCAATATAAGGTGTTTTGTTGGTATCAACTTGCCATCACGATGGATTGAAATTTGTCGAACAGCAGTGACACCTTGGTCTAAGAGACAAATCTGAATATCTGATTCATCCTCAGACATCAGATCGATTTCAGATATCACACCACGTGACAAGTTCAAATTTGTGTGTGGTGTGATGGTTACCATTATTTCTCCTAGAGACTTCATTTTGAGAAGCTTTGCTGACTGTTGAGGGGAGGCTGCTTCTACAAGTAGATCTCCTGACCTCAGTTTTTGAATTTTTTTAAGATTCCCAATGGTCGATTCAAACAATTTTTTAATCAAAAAAGGAGAACGTTTAGATAAAGGTGTTTCTCCCATAGCATGAACAATAAGATATGCTGGTTGATTGGAAGAAATGGAATCCTTTGGTGGTAATGCATCAGTACATGTTTTATGTTTTAGTGAATCCATATTTTATAACAACAGTTCAGCTCCTGGTGACCCCACCCACCATGAAGCCCAACAAGGGGATGTCGTCACATGAAAGACTACCATAGACCGTCACACCAGGGTTTCCCAGGAGCTATACCCTCACAATGCAGTCAAGAACACATCTTGTCTGACGCGTCCGCCTGATCTGCATCGATCGGTTGACTTCAAGCCGAGGTCAAGAATGACTCAACAACCAGCCGATTGACTCAAACGGAGCCTGATTTGAGCCTCCCGTTTATCCGGAGCAGGGGCCAAAGCAGTGTGTTGGGGACATTATGTTGCCCCTCAACTTCCAGGATCCCCCTTTCCGGCATACGGGGTACCACGCACGGCAAACACGTGGGTGGGCGTTCAGATCCCAGGGATGGTAAAGAAGAGTTATTAAACCATCTCTGGGAGGTCCCCTCACCACGGACAGGAACCCACATCGAGGGGGTATATAGAACAAACTGTGACAGTTACTCCAATAGAAATTCTGACTGCCACAGCTTGCAACTCAGTTGTTATTTGTACCAGCAAGGATGGGATGTGATTTGAAACTACAATAGCCACACCACCACTGACACAGTTCTGGCTATCATCATCCTTGCGGTATAGATCAAATCCTTTTAAAAAAATATTTTCTCCAGGTTTCAAATGAGTCTCCTGGAGTGCCACGCAGAGAGATGGCGTACATAATATCAAGTGTTTAGTGTCAGAGAAGTTGTTGCGGTAACCACGACAGTTCCATTGGATTATTTTATAATCTATTGTGGTGAGGCAGCATTTTTTAGCAAGGTTATCCCTCTTTAATTTCACAGGGGCTTTTTCTTTTGGAGATGATGTTGGTGGTGTCACCACCTTATTAATCTCTTCATCAGAGAAGTCAGAGAACTCGCTCATAGACTGAGTCTCCAATTTTTTAGATTTATAGACGGCTACTTTCATTTTTTGTTTATTAAGTTGGTTCTTACTGGCTTTTTTTGCAACCCACATTCGTAGTTCTTACCCCCTGTTTTAGGTATAAATGGTTTTGTCTTGTTACACTCTATTTCTGTCGCTTTGGCAGATGGCATCAGCAGACATTTTTCATGGCAAGTCAGAGATTCATTTGGTGAAACAGAAATGTTTGTTTAAACTCCACATGTATTTGTGGATTTCAGAACAGCTAAAATGTCTTCTGTTTCAAAAGTGCACTTGAAGTGACCATGTGCAGAGCCTCTGTGTAACATAAGTTGTTGAATTACACTACTCATACACCTTATATAATACAGCCAAATTTATTATAACACTTCAAACGTTTTCGGACATCTTTAATGCCCTTTTTCAAGAACGAACCACCGGAAATCGAATCTTGGCGAATTCATAAAAACGATAAATGCGTTTTGGAACGCTATTTAAACAAACTCTTATTGCGCAGAATCGTGCCGTTTGTTTACCGTTAAAAAATACTACCAATAACCACTAATACGATACATCAACCATACATATATGAACCTAACATAAATAAAGACAACAATGCTAAATATAACCATAAAATCACTAATAATAATGCACGTGTAGCCCGATTGCACCTTTCATATGCATGCTTTTCCAAAATTCGTCTTGCTATTTCTATTATTTCGCTCCGTTATATTAAGCTCGATCTCCATGCTTCCGATATTTTACTTGCTTCTCTAAAGTTAATTGCTTGTCCTTCTTGACTATTTTTACAAATATGCCACGCCTCTGCGTATTTGAGATGCCTTTTGTCGTGAATTTTTTGTACTAACTTTGCCTTATCCCACTCTGCTTTAACTTCTGTAGGGTCTGCTAGGATGTATGTCGCTAGCGCTGTGACTGGCTGCTCATTTCGTATGTTTCGTTTGTGCTCTATCATTCTTTCTTTGAGCGATCTCCCTGTAGCTCCAATGTAAAACAGCTCTTTCTGTCGCCTTTTATCTGTTANCTCTGCTAGTTGTTTTTTAATGACTCGCTTCAAATCGCCTCCTTCAATACGCATTGTATGCTGAGAAGGACTTGCTGACTTAGCAGCTGCATCAGCTTCTTCATTTCCTCTTATTCCTACGTGGCCTGGGACCCAACAAAATTTTATAGAGAAATCCCTTGCAAGGAGATGACAAATTAGTTTCTGAATTTTAATAACTATGGAGTGAGAACTAGGTTCATACGAGATCAAAGCCTGAAGTGCACTAACTAAGTCAGTGTAAATCACGCAGCAACGATGACCTTTCCTATTTATATACTTTAGCGCTGAATAAATAGCCTGCAACTCCACAGAAAAGATGGAAGAATTTGGAGCTATTTGTTCTTCCACAATTTCATTTTGGCAAACAAAGGCTAAGCCAACATAGTTATCAGATTTAGATCCATCAGTATATATTAGAATTAAATTCCTGTCACGATGTTGAATTTCTGCGAAGTGCTGTCTGTAGACGTAGTCTGGAGTGGATTCCTTAGGAAATTGCTTTAAGCTTATATCAACATCTATCGTTGGAGTTGACCAAGGTGGTATACTATTAACCTCAAGCTGTGAGATGTTGCTTGTGTCCAGGTCAATCGTGCTGCTTACATTCTCCATTCTTAGTTCGAATGTAGTTAGTTAGTTAGTTAGTTTGTTAGAGTTTATTGGCACAAGGGCCATACAGGCCAAGCTGCGCCATGGCAAATGGTATATATAAATAAATAAATATATATATATATA